TAAAAAATAATAACACTGACATACAGTATTAATATTTTTCTTATAAATGCTAAATTATTAAAATTATGTTATTAATCCATAATCATAAATCCACATGGCTTTGAAAAAAATTATTTTTTATTATTCATTAACAAATTCTATATAATCCATGTACTAAAGTATATTTATTAAATTTATCTCTTAATAAATATCCTGAACTTTATAAAATATTAATAAACTGGAAGAAAAATCAGAAAGTGTTTTGTTATGCAATCAAAATTATTAAAATGAAAAATGATAAATATTACCATTTAAATATTTATCACTTTGTATACTTTGTAAATTTTTGGAAAAATTTTGTGTAAACNGAAAATTTAAATTTGCCGACTGGAATTCTTTCGGATGATTGACTTTTGGAAAATCGACGCTCTACTGTACTTGTAGTAATATTTAAAGTAAAAAATAATAACACTGACATACAGTATTAATATTTTTCTTATAAATGCTAAATTATTAAAATTATGTTATTAATCCATAATCATAAATCCACATGGCTTTGAAAAAAATTATTTTTTATTATCATTAACAAATTCTATATAATCCATGTACTAAAGTATATTTATTAAATTTATCTCTTAATAAATATCCTGAACTGTATAAAATATTAATAAACTGGAAGAAAAATCAGAAAGTGTTTTGTTATGCAATAAAAATTATTAAATTAAAAAATGATAAATATTACCATTTAAATTATTTATCATTTTGGGATTGTAAATTTTTGAAAAAATTTTGTATGAGCTTGGGAGAAATTTTGGGTGTTGAAAATATTCTGTATCCCTTTTCATAAGTTGTATTGCACCACATTAGCATCTTGCTGCCTACAGATGGCTACACTTAGCCAAGCACATTGTCAGGAAAAAATCAACAAGGAAGTCAAGAAAGCAAATTCCCTGACTTTTCCTAACTTTTTGATAATTTTTAACAAATTCCCTGACATTCCATGACTTTTTCTGAACACTAATAAAAAATCCCTGACTTTCCAGGTGTGTAGGAACCCTGAATAAAATAAAATGAAAAGATTTAAAAATAGCTATTTATTCCTTTTAAAACTAAATATAATTTTAACAAATGATGTTGAGCAAATATTATTTATTAATAATCACAATTCAAAAGTGAAAACTTGTAATGAAGGATTTGCATTCATAGGAAGTAAGCAATTTTGTTAATTGTCATAAATATCTCCAGCTTTGCTGAACATACTATATGTTCACTAAATATACTACTTTGTAGAACTGCCAAAACATGTCAGATTTTATTTTTTTACTTTTCATCATGATGATAATTTTTATGAATAAAAACATAGCAATTATCCCTCATACAACATGACATTCCTACAACATGGTTTCATTCTGATATAATTTTAGAATTGGGAAAATTTCCCATAAAACACAATGTTTTTATAACACAGTTCGAGAATTTGAGATGTCCCCATATACAAAATACCACAATTTTTAAGTGTAAAGATAGCCATTCAATGTTTTTCACTCAAGCAAGTAAGCAAGCATGCATGTTGTCTCATATTTGAAAATTTCAAAATTCTAAAATCCGTGGGCATTGTTTTGTGCCTTTCGTCCAGTTTTCTTTAATGAGAATTGATTGTACAATTTTTCTTCTTCCTTCTCATAGCTTTCTATTCTAGCTTTCCTATAAACTAGATGTTGCAGCCATTGGTGATAGTGATCTAAATGAACCTGAAAGACTGTTGCTGTGTTTTGTTTTTATAGATTAAATTAAGTTACTACATAAAAAAATTACATTTTTAAAGATGTTTTAGACAATTACAGGCAAATGAAAATATCAAATGTTATGAAAACAGATGTTTACTGATGAAAACTTCAGTTTAAGATCAACAGAAAAACTCAGATGATGACAATATTTTGTCAGAAAAAAAAAACATTGTTGTTTAACAATGTTTAGCAGTGAAGAAAAAAACTTAATATTTATTTGAAATACTTTTGCTTGTGATTGCCATCTCTAAATAAATACATTTCTCTTAATTATGGAAAAGAACAGTATACTTTTGATAACTTTTGGAACCTAACTCTATGTTTTGTACTAGTCCTTTGTTTCATTTAGCATGGATTTGCTTAACACAGTTCTTTTTCAGAACCTAACTACCGTGTTATACAGGAGATATCTGTACATAATTTTTATTATTGAATAAAAGATGCTACTTTCCACCTTACTCTATGCCTGTGATTTCAAAGTAGGTACTACAACCCTGTTGGGAGTAGAAGACTCAAGAAGGCTTGGGAAAACAAGGGGATAAAAATTCATTTTGAAGCAAAAAAATAAACTGTAGTTTATTTTTTGCTTCAAAATGAATTTTTAATTTAATGAATTTTTAATTTTTATCCTCTTGTCTTCTAGTGTTCCCTAATACTCTCTTGTAAAATTAGTTTTTGAGACATATGACTTTACACATGTATGATAAAAAAAAAACGTTTCTCATCATAAACATGAAAAAACACACAAGCTGAAATCATATGAATTGAGCAAACTATTTGGAGATATTAATCAATTCATTAAAAAATTATTAGTAAAATATGTACTTGTTTATAAAACCGTCACAAACTTTAAGCTCAGTAAGAGCATGATCTTAATGATATATAAAAAAAAATATGTAGGAGATGATGAGGTAAGATGACATAATTAAAGTTTTTTTCTTTAAATAAAACAAATACTGGCAGGATAAACTGTATTCTTTTCCTAGTCTGGAAACTTTAAGAGCTCCCATCCAAGATGGTATCATATTCACTAATGGGCAAAGTGGCCAGGCAGATGTGTGTTTTTACCTCAAAAAATACTCTGGGACATGCTACATTGGCTAGTGGATCTAGAGATAACATCAGCGTTATCTGGACCTCTAGATCCACCAACCAATGTAGCATATCCCAGATTATTTTCACTTGAAGTGAAGTCCCTTACGGTTAGTGGCATTGAAACTATACCTCCAAATTTGTATCACCTTGTATGACACAAGCAGTCAACTTAAATTGGATATAAAAATTTTATATATATTAATTATTAAACCAAATATACCAGTTATTATACACTTTTGTTCAATTATTTTAATATTTTTTATATACTGTAAAATTATTATTATGACTAAATTGTGTGTGTATCATCTAAAAATTATTTCCATACTATTTCAATACAATTGGATTTAAAAAAAAAAATCACTAGTACACACAAAACCAATATCCAGCAAGAAAAAATGAAACTACATGAAAGCAAATGTTTTCATCTGTTCAACATTTGCTTTCACATTGTTTTATATTTTCTTGCTGGATATTGGTTCTATGTGTAGTGCTTATTTACTCTTTCTCAGTTTTGAGTAGTTGAATTTTTTAAAATTCATATTTCATTCATAAATTAAAACAGTCAAAATTATTTATCATTTCACCCCTTTTTGTAGAAAAACAGTTGTAAGTGTATTAAAAAAAATTAATATATTAACTGCATTCAGTAATAATTAATCATAGTTTAAATAAAAATGTTATTGAGTATTGGGGCATTTAATACTGAAATGTAATTTAGCAGAAAAACTAATGTATAATACTATATAAATTATATAACTTATTACTTTATTTTTAAGTTTATCACATTTGATATAAATCACTTCCAATGTTATTTTATTTCAGAATAGTTTCCAATATAAAGTAACAAGAAGAGATCTGGAATTCATATCCAGTTTACTTCTTTCTTTATTTTTCTTAGCATAACTGAAAATTCTGATCTTTTATAACAAACATCTGTAAATACTAATGTTTACTAATGTAATAATATCAAAACAAATGACACATGAAATAAACAAAAACATTACTTATACAAACTTGCATATTTTGGTAGAAGTTACTTTTAGACAATTTATATATAGATGTATATCTGCATAAATTACTTAAAAGTAACTTCCAACCATATTTCTTTTCCTTGAGAATTATTTACTTTTTAAAAATAAAACAGATAATGATAAGTAGTATAGACCTGTAACAAGGGTGGCGAACCTGTGACACATAACATATTGTTTATTACAATATTTTAGATATTTATTGTGTTTACTGCCATATGTCTGGTTCCTTCTCATCTTGATGTGATAAAACCTTGTCCCTTTTCATTGTTGCAGTAAACTGATATGCTATTCATTTCATGTGGACATAACATATCATACAATTTCAATTTATCATTTGTCTTTTTCAATCATCCTATTGGTTTATCACCCAATTATATTTTTTTTCCACTCAGCCTTTTTACATTTATTTTAATTAAACCATATTCATTTAATTTCTTTAAATATCATCACTTCAAGTCTAAAACTTTGGCACACAAAAATATCTTTAAAGCTAAGTATGCTTACTACACAGGATGCGAGCACAAAAAGGTTTACCATCTCCGACCTATACCGCAAACATACTTTAACCCACAATTATAGTCAAATAAAACAGGATTTAAATTTATTAATATGTATATATTATCACATTCCATAGAAATTCATAAAGGGTTTACTCAAATTAAATCTATTATAATAATAAAATACAGATCAATTAAAAAGACTAAATCAAAAATTAAGAAACTTAAAATTTATAATAAATTTCAACTATTTTAATTTTATATTTCATCTACTGTGTTTACATTAATATCTTTCAGATATTAATTATAATTATGTTTATCATTGCATAAATATTTCAAACTAATTAGATATATAATATATAAAAAGTTTTGAAATTTTCATCATATAATCATATTCTTAATATTTTCCAAGGATCTATACTTATAATTTTAAAAAATGGTATGTATATATGTATATATAACACCTACAATCTATTAATTATAAACGTGCATACATATATACCTACATATACATATATTTTATATATGTGCGTGTATATATGCATCTATTTACATACATACACACATATTATTAATATTTTAATTATTAAAAGTGAAAATGATTAACAAACCATGGAGCTCCATGGAGGTGATAATTTTAGTTGACATTATTTCGATTGAATTTTTTATTTCAACATGACGTTATTTGGCTTTAGAATTTTGACTCATAGATTTTATATTTAAATAACTTCTTCGAATACTGCCACACTTTACATTTTGTCTAAAGCATGTAAACTTGAGGGAGTGCCCAGCTGCGCCATTTTACAAGTGCGGTCCTGTAATATTATAAAAATAAATTTTTAAATCTAAATGAAGCATTTTTTTAAATTACGATATTAAAATATGCTATTTTTATGTAATTTAATTCATCTTCCACAAAATTTCGATTATTACATTTAAAGCGCCTAAACTCTCTTGACGTTAAATTTTGACAAATTAAAGATGGCGAATAATAGCGTGATGTTGATTTCTCGATTTCGTTTCTTATCGTTTATACCTAGAATTAATATTTCTATTCACAGTGAGATATTTGTATTTTACATCTATTAATTAATAATATAATCGAATTTTAATGTATGTTTTTACACATGTTTATTTTTTAACATCGGTGGACACCTGGTGGAGGAAGCTTTAATTAATTACATTTACGTGGAAAGTTATTGATACATTAGCTTGTTTAGGAATTTATTCTTTTAATACTGAAATTTTCTATTGATGTTTATAAAACGACATAAGTTTAATTATAATTTTTGAGTTTGATACACGACTTCATTGAATAAAACAATTTTGATTTTATGATATATTTTTAGAATTGTTCTTATTAGTTTGGGTTTTCAAGATTATATGTAATGCTTTAATTGTAGATTACATATATTTGTTTTTATAAATTAATAAACTTTCTCATTAACAAACTTTTATGTTAATGGGATGCCAGTTGTAACTTTAATCTGATGTGCAATACAGTCATCCACGTTGCCCTGCCAAGACTATTGCATTTAACTATTTAGCCCGTGAGACTGTGCTGGCTTGGAGTGGTCAACTTGCACTTGACTGTTCGTGGAGTACTTGGTGTTATACAGTTTTAGAGGGAATGTGGGGCTTGCCCCCACCTGGGCGCTGAGGTGCGAGCATGACTACATGTGAAGCATGTAGAATAGGCAGTATAGTGATACGTGTTAAAAACTGACCTTTGGAGGCAAATATCTTGCAAAGGGTCAATTCTGGGAATGGTGCGAAACCTCTCGTTAGGAGCTTGAATCTTACCCGATGCTGTACATATCAGCTGGTGTCTCAACAGAAAAGTACCATGTTTACTCTAAGCTGCATACATGTATGGACATACACTGATTTCTAAATTGATTAAATGATTTCATAATTTGTAAATTTGTATTTATTATATATTTATTTCAATTTGTTATATTTGTAATATATGTATACTATTCCTTTAAAATTATTTTTGCACATTCAATTTTGAACACTGCAATTTCAAATTTGTTTTTCTGAGATATAAAGAATCCTGAAGATGATCTATGAAGGGGACTGAAAACATTTGCTGAAAAATTAATCTTACTGTTAAATTTATTGTTACAGCAGAATGCAAAGTCTTTCTTTACATATGGCATTTCGATCCTTATTGTATTTTAATTTTGACAAGAAAAGTGGATAAAAATCAGCAATGAAGCAGATAATTGACAAAACCACTGACTGCCCTTCTAAAAATGGGTAGTTAATAAATATATAAACTGCAATAAAAGAGTACAAAACTGTAAGCTAAACACATGGGATTAATTAATCCCTTGTGCTCAGCTATAAGTGATTACATCTTTAATTGAAGCTGTGATAGGGTGTAAAGATTTTTTAAAAAATTGTTTTTTGAATAATAAGATTTAGATGTCAAGAAAACTGATATACGATTAAGAAAATTGTTCAGATTTTTTCATTATATTAAAACTTGAAAATAATTTAAAATTAAATGAAACAAAAATAATTACTATTACAATTATAGATCATTTTGCAATACTAATTTTGCTTATAAAAACCATATCCCATACTTTTTGCCTTATAAGATGCACTATTATATTGGACAGTATATTTTTCACACAAATTTTTTGGTGGAAAAAGTATTTTTTACAGTATAAGATGCATTTGGCTTGTAGGACACATCCTAATTTTCAGATAATCATAAGGTGGAAAATACAGTAATTAATGATTATAAGTTTCTTTATCTAATATGCTAAATGAAAAGGAGGACAATGAAAATTTTTTAAGTTTTAAAATAGTTTAGAAGTTATTTATGGCTTAATCTTTTTCAGACCTTAACGAATTCATCTTCAGAAGATTTGAATATTTGAGCTAATAAATATTCAGAATAGACACATTATTATTTTAAACATATATTATTTATTTATAAAATAGAATTAAAGTTTGATGATAGATGAAATTATTTTATCTCAGTTATTTTTTTTAANAACACTTTTTATTTTAAGTTCTTTATATTTGACATAAATCAGGTCCAGTGTTACTTTATTTTAGAATATTTTCCAAAATAAAGTAAGAAGAGATCTGGAACTTATATCTAGTTTGCATGTTTTTTCTTTCTTTATTTTTCTTAGCATAATTGAAACAAATTTTTAGCAGTTATATCTGGAAACGGATGGAAACCTATTTCACTTGAGGTTATAGAAATTATGGATACATTCATAAAGTCAAATGAGTTAAATGAATTACTAATGAGTTAATCATAAAGTAGTAATTCAGCTATTAAAATATTTTTTTGTTTTCAATTTTTGAACTAGTGTCATGTTATATCAATAATTTTAATTTAATGTAGCTTCTCAAATCGTAGATTTGTATTAATCTTCAAAACAACCAAATCTTAATTAACATTTTTGATTCTTATTTATATAAAAACATAATTAAATGTTATAGAATTAAGTGAATGGGTCAAAACTAATAATTAAATTCACATGCAATTAAAGCATTAAACTATTTTAGTATTTCAAACCATGTTTTTTGTAAGCTGCCAAAATAAATTTATACTTGCAAAAAGATCTATATTTCATTGTTGCGTAAATTTAAAATAATTTCAGAAGCTACATTTTAATAACAATTATACATAAATTGTACAATAATTTTTTCTATAATTATGACATGTTGAAGTACAGGGTAATCCAGAAGTCAGTTTATTTGAAAAATTCACTGAAATATTGATCATGGGGTTTCATCCAGAAGTGTCAGAATTAGTTTCAATTATGTTCACCAGGTACACTTTGATCCGCAACACCATAAAGAACTGCATCATATAAAATGTCAATATGGCAGATATCATTGTCAAGCAAAGCCTGAAGACAAGTAATGATGATATGGACAACATGAAACTGCATTTCTGAAGGTAACATTGATACCTCTCAACATATATTCTTATAGCATTGCTAATGATGTTGGGAAATCTCTATAAACCTGTGATTTCAGATAGCCCATAACCAAAAATCACAGGGCATCAGGTCTGGAGACCTAGGTAGCCATTCATTCTGAAAGTGACTGCTTATCACTTGATTTTCTCCAAATAATGATAGTAACAGTTGCTTCACAGGAGAAATAACATGGGGTGGTGCTTCATCCTGCATGAATGTCATGACATCCAATACTTACTGTTCCTCCAGGTTAGCATAATGCTGACCTGTGATAGCGAGTTTCGAAAGCAGACACCTCTGTGACATCATTTGTGGTAAAGTATCACATGATGGACATAGTTGGAACTAATTTTGACACTTTCTGGGAAAAACTCTGATGATTCTATATATTTCCATGATAATCACATTACCATGCACCAAAAATTCACCAATACTGTATATTGTTTTTAAATGTTAACTGATTTTTGAGTCACCTATATATAGTGATAAAAGAAACTGAAAATTTTTTTAAAACCATTGTGTTAACATGTATAATTCTTTTTTAGCAAAAAATATTATTTTGAATAGACATATCTATAATTAATAGAGTATTATTATTTTTAGGAATAGAATTGTTACTAATTATTTATTAAATTATAGATTGCAGTAAATATTTTAATTCAACTACAACTGAAGATTCTAATATTCATTCACAAACTGCTACTAATGAAAAAGATGAAGATGATATTAAAATTTCAATTCTTGATGCTGGATTAGAATTTGTTTCACAACATGGTTGGAGTAGAGATGCTTTAGCTGCAGGTATTGCCAGTTTTGTTTTTAAATAATTTACAAAACTTTTAATTATTGATTTTAATTAATTGGCTTGTTACTTGTTATTTTTAATTTGTAGTCATTTTAATATGTTAATGTAAAAAACTTCATATTGATCAATACAAACTAATTTTTTTTCTAGAATGGAAAGTTAATTAATATAGTCTCTGTAAAAAATGTAAATTGGTTTAAAAATTTCTCGCAATGATATCATAAATTAAAACAAATACCAATAGTTCATTAAGAAATGGCTGACAGTAATTTACATAGTAAGAATTTCTTAATATAACTATTTCTTAATGAACTATTCATTTTAATTTATGGTATCATTGCCGGAACACTTCTCTTAACCAATTTACATTTTTTTTTTTTTTACAGAGGCTTAGCCTCAAATAAAAGGTTGTCTCTATAAGTGGAGATTTATACTTTTTTTTGTTTGTCAATGAGGACTGTGAAATGACAGATTGTGAAGACAAAATGTTTTTGTATTCTTCAATATATTTTTTACTTTTTCTAATTATTTTCTACAGGTCTCTTTAATTATCTTCTCTTTAGCTTCTGTTTGAATTTTTAAATAATTACTCTTCTTATCTCTTAATTTTTCAACTTGTAACTTAAGCTTGCCTTTGTTTTTTTAATAATATTCTCTCAATACTCTTCAATCCTCTTGAGTTTGAATTTACTCATCAAGTTTTATATTATTAGTGTATATGCTTCTTCTAGACAAATCTGATGCTAAGAAAAATAAAAAAAAGAATAGAAATAAAGGAACCAAAAGCATCTAAATTCATAGTGAAAACACATTAATAATATGCCTGAATAAAGACTGAATATGACATAAGCAATCATAGGATATACAAATTTTATATAGTACAGTATTACATAAATTATGTAACTCATTATTTTATTTTTAAGTTCTTTATATTTGACATAAATCAGGTCCAGTGTTACTTTATTTTAGAATATTTTCCAAAATAAAGTAAGAAGAGATCTGGAACTTATATCTAGTTTGCATGTTTTTTCTTTCTTTATTTTTCTTAGCATAATTGAAACAAATTTTTAGCAGTTATATCTGGAAACGGATGGAAACCTATTTCACTTGAGGTTATAGAAATTATGGATACATTCATAAAGTCAAATGAGTTAAATGAATTACTAATGAGTTAATCATAAAGTAGTAATTCAGCTATTAAAATATTTTTTTGTTTTCAATTTTTGAACTAGTGTCATGTTATATGTTGTGATTGATATCAAGGGTGTTTTTAAGTCCTGCCAGATTTCAAAGTGCTGTATCATCCAGATGGAATGTTGCATCACCAGGAAATAACTTATAAAATGTTAATTACACTTCAAAGTTTGATGGCAACAGTACAGCTGTTAACACCAGATCTCAAGCTGTGCTCCAGTGACATTCAAACACTCTTGCAGCCATTTCTAGAATCCCAAAATTGTATGTTGACAATGTTTATATGGAATGTACTGAATAACCATGCAAATTCTCTCCTTTAGATGATACAAATTTGCTGGTTTTTCAGCATACACTTTCACTTTAACATCCCCCTACAGTCAGAAATTGCAAGATATCAAATCAGGAGACCTTGCAGACCAAGAAATGGGCCCTCCTATGACCAATTCATTGCTCATCAAGTTGTTTGTCCAGAGATAACATCTCACCTGAAAGATAAAGTGAGGAGTGCAAGATGATGTCCCTCCCACTTTGTTCTTCAGGTGAGATGTTATATGGATGAACAACTTGATGAGTATGATTTAGTTGTAGGGGACCCATTTCTTGGTTGCAAGGTCTCCCAAGTTGACATCCTGTAACTTCTGGCTGTAGGAGGATGTTAAAGTGAAAGTGTATGCTGAAAACCAGTTTGTATCATCTAAAGGAGAGAATTTGTATGGTTATTCAGTACATTCCATATAAACATTGTCAACATACAATTTTGGGATTCTAAAAATGGCTGCAAGAGTGTTTGAATGTCACTGTATACTGTGCATTGCCATCAAACTTTGAAGTGTAATTAACATTTTATAAGTTATTTCCTGGTGATGCAACATTCCATCTGGATGATACAGCACTTTGAAATCTGGCAGGACTTAAAAACACCCTTAATATCAATCACAACATATAACGTGACACTAGTTCAAAAATTGAAAACAAAAAAATATTTTAATAGCTGAATTACTACTTTATGATTAACTCATTAGTAATTCATTTAACTCATTTGACTTTATGAATGTATCCATAATTTCTATAACCTCAAGTGAAATAGGTTTCCATCCGTTTCCAGATATAACTGCTAAAAATTTGTTTCAATTATGCTAAGAAAAATAAAGAAAGAAAAAACATGCAAACTAGATATAAGTTCCAGATCTCTTCTTACTTTATTTTGGAAAATATTCTAAAATAAAGTAACACTGGACCTGATTTATGTCAAATATAAAGAACTTAAAATATAGAGTGTTTGAATGTCACTGGAGCATAGCTTGAGGTCGCTGTAATGCCAATTAAAACTAGGACTATTTTTGTATGTGTAGAAATAAAAGTGAAATGTGTTAGATTTATCACCAGAGTGGAGAAAGTTTAATTATGGTCATTTGGTATATATGTGATTTGTATTGTTACCTAACACAATGACATGCATGCATCTTTTTTCCAAATCTTTTTTATTTTGCAGGTGCTGAGAAAATTGGCTATCCTGGTATTGCTCATGGAATGTTTCCAAATGGTGGAGCAGAACTTGTTCATCATTTTTATTACACTAGTAATCGTGCATTGGAGTCTAAATTGAAAACCTCAGATCTCAGAAACAAGTAAGAAATAATTACTAAAAAATTAATAATTTAAAATGA